AGCTGCCTGCAGGTTTGGGATCTGCTGCAGACGGAGCTCGAAGAGCGGCGCGCGCTGGACAGCTCTCAGGCCGAGAAGATCGGCCAAAGTGGATCCTTGGGACTCCAGAAGATGGTCTAAGGAGTCTGAGGTAAGGATTGACGATTGGGCATCATGGGGTTTTGAGTTTATTGGGGGTTTTGGCTTTTGGGGTACAGTGATTCAGGCCTTAATTTTCTTGAGAGGGGGAGGGGGGGGGGGGCATGGGCGTTGGGGCGGTTTAACGGTCTAGGGGCTTTGGGGTCTTAGGCTTTCGAGCTTCAGCGCTTTAGGGCTATGCATGGCACAGGCTTCTTGCAAGCCGGGGAAGAGTCGATGAGCATAAAGCTAAAATAAGAACAATAATGATTCTTATTCATAGTATATAATAATAATGATGTTAGTATTTTCAACCCTTGTGATACTGCCAGAAAGGCTAAGTAAAGGCCGTGTAGTTTCCGATCCGAGCTCGCCAGGGATTACAAATCGGCAAGCAGAGTGGTAGTACAACGAGATAATGATGTAAGGGGCCCCATGGGACGTTTCGGAGTGGCTTCGGCCCAGGAACGCTTCTCCTGCACCTCTTCGCCCTTGGCCGTTTGAAGTGCCTCCAGGGTGCCGGCTTCGAGCTCCCTGCCGAAGAGGTGCCACTCGTCTCTGACAGGCAGCGGCTCGCTGAGGGTCTGCGCTTCACGCGCCTGGCCGTGGCGTCCTACGGGGCCAACTTGCTGGCCTTGGTGGGGCTGCTCCAGCTGCGGGACGCCTGGCCCACCGACGGCGCAAAGCGTGACAAGGCTCGCGCCAAAAAGGTATGATTCCTTGGAGCAGTACTCCAGCAGAAGTTTCACCCCCACCAGCAGAGACCGGAGGTCGCAGCCACGAAATATCTGCAGATTGAGGAGAAACAGGTGCTTGCCTGTGGCACCTTGAGCAAGGAGGCCCAGGACGGGTCACATCGAGCCTTTCAGCCAAGCTGCAGAGGTGCACTCGTTTTGCACCACTGTGCGCAGGAGGCCAAAGCCCCAGACCGCTTCAAGCCGTGGTGGATACTGCTTGAGGATGACGGCGAATTAATTCTGTCCATCCGAGGTTCTGCGACGCTTGCTGGTCTCAGTACCAGGTTTTAATTGGGCGAATGGGAGTTGTTAGTGCGCGATCTCGATCCGCGCAATTTCAGACCCCGAACAGAGAGGAGAGAAAAAATTGAGATGCTGGCTGCTTCCGTTTAAGACTTTAGGCTTCATGCAAAGGCATCATAGGGCATCCTGACGTTTCGAGCCGAGCCCCAGCTGCGCCCAGGAATGTCGCTGACATCGCAACCGACCTGGCTTGCAGCAACTGTGAGTTTCTGCACGGCTTTGCTCATGAAGGAATGGCTGGAGCAGTGCTTTCTGTGTGGGAGGAAGCACAGCCTCAGGTCTTGCAGCTTGTCTCCGGAAATTCCCAAAGCCACATGAACCCTCAAAAAAAGAACCTGAACCCTTAGCACTGTCGGGACGTGGTAAGAGCTTGCCAATGGAGTTTGACATCTGCAAACCACTCACAAATCTCTTGAGCTTTTCACGGAGACGGTGTCCATTGCAGCATTTGTACATGTCGTCGGCACTCTTACTGATATGGATTGCGATTGCATGAGTCCGTAACTTGAAGAAGCCTCGACCCCGACCTTTTGAATTCGAAGCCTCTAGTGGCAGTGGCGGCCAGAAAGTCCTCGCATTCGACAGCCGCCTGGGACATCCTGCAAAACACTCCTTAAGGCCTGGATGACAACCGTGACTAGGAAGGACTTATAGGATCAATAAGGGTAAGCATACTGTAGCAGCTGACAGCAAAACGAGCAACAGGAATAGTAATGAAAGATCCTATCTGTGCCTGCCAAAGCCCCGAAGGAAAGCAATTGATGCCCATGACTACAAGCGCTTTGTGGTCTGTGGGCACTCTCTGGGTGGAGCCGTGAGCTTGCTGTTGGGGATGAAGCTCAGAGCGGAGGCCTGCGGAGGTCATGTCCGTATATCTATCCACATATTTATGTATATATTTACATATGTGGTTGTATATTTATATGATTTATATGTACACGCACACGTGTATGTGTGTATGTATGTGTGTGTGTGTATATATATATAATATGAGGATATATAACTTTTTTTAATGTGCACACACACACACATGTGGCATTTCTAACACACACAACATACAATATGTGACATCTATCTTGTAAAACGTAATGTTTGATGTCTAATATCTGTTGTATCTATATGTATATACATATTTACATACACATATGACCATACGAATGTCTGAAAAACCTGTAGCATGACTGTCATACATGTATGTACAGAGTATATATTTCATGAATACGACATGCTATGTAGTACAGAAGGCTTAATTTGTGTATATGTATATTTAATATACATTCATACATACATACATACATACATACATGTATACAAACATACGTACATACATATGTATGTATGTATGTATGTATGTACGTATGTATGTATGCATGTATGTATGATGTATGTAT